AAAATACATACATACATGATGAGAATATAGTTAATGACTATTTTGATTTCATTTGACATGTGGAAGTTTTTGCTCAGGATACTTGATTAGGGGAGTGATTTAACATATTCGTTTTAATGGTATTAAATGAACGATTTAAAAAAAAAAACGAAAGATTAAGGTATGAAACAAAACGATAAGAAGGTCGGAGTGTAAAAGCAGGTAAGTACGGAGAGTACTTAATACAGATATCCCTAAATTCATCCGAGACGGATCCCTAGAAAGCTAATTGAGCCATGCGTTTAGCATTGAGCCGATACCAATTATGTGTTTCACCAGTTTTAGAGAAAAGCCTCTCTGACGGAACACTTGTTACCATTCTTGATAAATAGTCTCGAGCAATGGGGTATACATGGGGATATTCACTACGGATTTTGGATGGGTGTGCCAAGGGGGCCAGGCCTTCTCCAGAATTATCTAGCCCCCAGCATGTTTGATCTTTGTTGGCATTTTTGTCTCAGCTACTCAATGTGGGATCTCTAGGTGCATTTAGAATCGAACTAGATGCCAAGATTTTTGAAAGTCATATAATGAGTGATCGGTTTACCCAAAAGTTGAAGCTTGTGCTGGGCTATGCTTCCTAGAAAAAACTACCAACTCAGTTTTCTCCGAGGAGAATTCGATAACTAGCTGGATAGCCCAAGTAGACAAACTGTCTGAGGTATCCTGTAAGGGTCCTTGCAGGTCAACCCCTTTGGGCCCTGTCTTAGACACTACACCGTCATCTGCAAGTTGTCTCAACGTGCAGTTGTCACTTAGACAATTAATCATTTTGTCAGGTTTCTGCATTCATTTTCCATCATATGTCACTGCTGTTGTTGGCGGGGACATCTATCGGAAACTACACATAATTTGTTTTCCGTTAAATGTTCACAGAGGACAGTATAGTGCAAAACATGGCTTATACCTCTATATATGCATTTAGATTAACATCCGAAGTCCCTTCCTTTTACACATTCTGCACACAAAATAGCTCACCCCTCACAGGATTTCCCGTCAATTTCCATGAATGGGGCGGAGCAGAAAGTATCTTTTGTTCAGAATATGTAAAAAGGAGGAACTTCGGATGTTAATCAAAATACATATATAGAGGTACCAGACATGTTTTGCAGTGTCAGGTACTCTATTTTGTAGTCTATGAGAGGGAAATCACAAATAGAGTGTCATCAAAATACATGGAATGTTGAGAAATTGAACTAGTGAGAGGAAATTTTCTCTCTCAAATTTGAAGTTTTAGGCTCTCTGGGGACTGGTATTAAAGCAGGTAAAACTGTATGGGGAAAAATCATTTTTATTTAATTGTAGCTTGTTTAACAATAATTTCCGGGAAAAAACTGAACGAAAAAGTCCTTGACTAGTTCCTTTAAATTGTCGTTCACTTTGTTTGACCTGAATATGCAGCGCCATCTCTGTGGAAAATGGCAGGACGATATAATTTATTGTCAATTTCTCTGACGTAAAAATTATACAAAAGGGGGCTTAAACATGAGCCCTGGGGGAGACCCACGTAACTAAATCGTGAAGAGTTTCCATGAGAAAAATTCATATGTTTCTCTGACAGCAAATTGTACAAAAAGTTATTAATTAATGGAGAAAGGCCACAAGCGTGGAGTTTGTTTGAAAGGACTTCAACCGATACTGAATCAAAAGCCCCCTTGATATCCAAGAATGCAGAAGCCATTTGCTCTTTTTTAGCAAAAGCCAACTGAATTTCTGTGGAAAGCAACGAGAGACAGTCGTTCGTTCCCTTGCCCCTACGGAACCAAATTGGGTATCTGAGAGTAGGTGGTTCATCTCAAAACATTTGTCCTGACGAAAAAGGATCATTTTCTCCAACAATTTTCGAATGCACGATAACATCGCGATGGGTCATCTGACGCGGGTTTGCCAGGCTTTTTAATGGCTATAACTCTCACCCGCCTTCAATCATCCAGAACAATATTGAGCTCCAGGAACTGACCAAACAAATTCAACATGCGCCTCTTAGCGACGTCTGGGAAGCTCTTGAACAAGTTGAACTTGATCCTATCAGACCCCGGAGCCGAATTGCCACACGAAAGGAGCGCGAGTGAGAGCTCTAGCATTAAAAAAGGTTGGCTGATCTCGTCTACCGAATTCGTCGTTTCACGAGGAATCATCTATGCCGGCACGGAATCAGGACATACTTTTCGCGTGAACTTGAGAATCCAACGATCCGAGTACTCCTCGCTCTCGTTGTTTGAAGACCGGTTACGCATCCTTCGCGCCGGGTTCCACAGGGTATTCATCGACGTTTCGTGTGATAATCCGTCCATGAATTGCCGCCAGAATCGGCGTTTCTTGGCTTTGAGTTCGCGTTCAAGAGCCGAGTACGCTTCGAAATGCACGGGTGTTCCACGTTACCGGGAATGTTTATAAGCGCGTCGGACTTTTCACGATAAACCTTAGTGCATCGCTGGTTCCACCAAGGGGAAGGAGGTTTCCTACGGAAAGACGTTCCAGGATCCGGCCGAATTTGAGTTTGAAGCGCGCTGTCCAAGATCAGATTGGAGAGAAAGTTATATTTCTCCAACGGTGGAAGCCCTTCTGCCGACTTTAGTGCTTCATCTATCGTAATCTGATAATTTTATTTAAAGAGTTACGTCTGTTTGTCTGTGGTATAACGGAAATGATAATTTGGCTCTGTAAAGTTTATTCGATTGAGCCTTTACAAATAAAGTTATTTATTTCTCGATGTCAGAACTCAGCACTCACAAACTACCTACTCGGAGATCAAACATACAGCACCCGGTCGACTCAAGCGACAAGAGCAAGCTCCGGAACACCCAGGGTCGGCTAGCTACTGGGTAATCAGAGCCCATCGTTAAAAATCGGCTATTTATCAATTTTATCTAGATGAACGCGTCATTGGGACGGTACTTATCGATATTTTTCGTCACTATTGATTATTTAATCGATTGCTGAATTTATGTATGGGTTCATATTAAGGGCATTTAGGCTGACATTACGTCCATTTCCCCTATGTGTCGTATTACCTAGCCTAGTTCACTTGTAGCGGTACATACGGCTGCTGTCGTTGATGATGAATCGGGATGGCCGACACAGCGACTTCTGTCCTACTGTGCGGCCGGAACTAGCGCCGAATTGGCGAAGCGAGTGGATGACGGGTCAGCGGGCGATGTTGGACGGTAGGATGGCGTGGCAAGGCCACCTTGGTCAAGCCGAGAAGGGAAAATTCCTTGACGATTATGGCCTTCGTTTGGCCAGATAATGGTATGGTATTTGGTCCTAGACAATTAGCGTTAGCGTTGTTACGGTATGCTTCGTAGATTGGATACTAGTGGCACTCACGTTTCTTTTGAAACTCTCCGTCAGGCTGCTTTCATGAATAATGCTGGAGAGCAAACATTGTTTCCAATCTAAACAAGGATACCAAAAGCACAGACAAACATACATAGCACTCACCATCACATTCTTTGCAAATAAGGTTTTAGTTGGGAATGTGCTTGCATTTGTCATGGTGGCGCCACTGAAGCGTTAAACAAGCCTCTACATTTCGCACTTATCAGTGATGCCAGTTCTTTTTCAAGTCAATTTAGTTTATCTAGATAGAGCTGGAATTAGGGCGTAACAGCTTTTGTAAACAATGACTTATATCGATGATTTCTAGAAATGCAAGGCACGTCCAAACAGGCCAACCTAACCATCAAATAAGGAAAGTTTTCCTTACCCGATGGGGATGTTGGTTTGCGTGGGCGAGCCTTGAATTTCTAGAACACGCACGAATGTATCTAAACGATTTCTTAGTCTTTCAGCTTCAATATAATTACATTTTCATGACTGAGAAAACTTGTTTTGCCTGGTTTTTCTTCAAATGAAACATAGGCACTAGAAAATATGGCTGATTTCGAGTTGCCGATAATAGAACAGCTGGTTCAAATGGAAAGGTTGCCAAAGAAAAAGAAGCTGCCGACAATAGTCACACTCACCTGCGAAGTTTGCAGCGTTGTAAAAACGTTTTCAACCCGTTTTGGACAAATCTGGACATTGGTATCGATACAATAGCAAGCAGTAGATAAATTTAATCAAACAAATCAAATTGCTAATTGATGTGTGGTCACTGCTGAGATTGACGTGAATAAGTGAATTTCTCTAAATATATATATTTAAACAAACATTGAAAAGCATGTATGCGGTTTCAAAACCGTTGAAAACTGTTGATCAACTATCTGCAACCGAAATGCAATGGTCCAGTTAAACCCCCCGATTGATCGCAGCGCAATCGGTTTAGCATTCAAATCGCGATCAAAATGTGCAAATTATTGATTATTTTCAATTAGGCACACACCGAAAGAAATGAAAATCATCGCAAAACCACCATCAACAGCCTACAACCTGAAATCGTGATTTGGTCGATGTGCATCTTGGCTTTGTATTTGCTTCAGATTCGCTCTCCATTTCCACCGTTGGCGTTTGCATGCAGCACGAATGGTGCAAATGGTAGCCCGCCCCCGCACAACCGCTTTATGACCATAACCAATATTTGCCGGGTTTTCCAGCGCTGGGTCATGAAAACAAAGAAACCAAAGCAGAGGGAAAAAATTTACCTACGAATGGTTTGTTGTTGACTGAGCGCCCGAATTTGTTCCGTATAGGTGCGTAGGTAACAAGTGAGAGGGATCATCTTCGTCGTCGTCGTCGTCGTCGTCACCGACCGAAGAAAGAATGCGATCCTCTCGGATGAGCGAGCGATCGTCGATCGGGTTGTCGGAAGGGGGTGATTGGGTGGCTCTGGATCATCTGCACATACCTGACTGCGGACTGCACGCTCGCGGAATGTGGCGGTGGAGGTAGCGAAGGCGACGGGTGGCGGGTGAGTGCTCGCAAACTAGAGCCGAGATGAACGACAGGTCGTCTTTCATTCGGACGCTACCCGGGCCGTGTCAACCAACTACCTATAAAAGCGTGAAGATGCGAGATAATTGATATCAGTCTTGAATTTGCGTTTATCATAGCTTAACCTAGTCTCCACTGCCGTCAGCCAAAAAGCTTCAGTCAAAATGTTCAAACTGGTGAGTGACACAGACAAATGAGTGATTCTTGGTAAAGAGTTTTCCGGGAAAAAAATCATAGTGAAGAATAGAACTTGGTGACCTCCGTTCCAAACAATGGACTTCAAACGAAAACAAAAAAAAAATATCATTGTGATCAGTGTTCTATGTGGAGTACAAATTCATGGAAACAAAACAAACCAACCAGCAGAGTGCAACTAACGTTTTCATGAATGGACCCAGTTCTGAGTGGTGCCGCAAACCAATTCAAGCAAGAAGAGAAGAAAATCTCCCATCATCATGACAAGTGGAGTGTGTCCTAAAACCCCTCCCCGCGCTCCCCCTCGCTCTTATTTCTACGAGCCACCCAAAAGGCAAAGTCAAGCGCGCGCTCGCGCAAAAATTCAAACAATAGACCTGAAAGCTAATCAAGTTTACACAAATCACACGCCGGCTGCTGCTGCTGTTGGCTCAAGTGACGATTGTTAGCTTTCAGGAGAGGGCGTTTTGGCGGTGCTTTTCAAGTTGCCGTCGACGTCGGCGCCGACACCACCACCGCCGCCGCCGCCGCCGAGGTTCAAGTGCGATAGGAAAATAAATTCAAAATCACTGTCGCGTCGCGGTCGAACGCCGCAGGGGGAGAGAACAAAGGGAGGACCGGGCAAAGATAAACAAAAGGGTGCTTGATTGGAAATTTGGCGCAAGACATGTTGAAATTGGAAGCGCTCGCAGGGTTTTATTGGCTCACGCAATACATTTTGAGGGGGGATTTGGCAGCCCAGGAGCTAACCTTTTAAGATGCGAAGTGATATGTTTTTTTTATCTCTTAGATGATTTCATGGTTTTTGGTTTGGTTTTTGAGCTATTTTATTGTGACAGCGATATTTGGGGTTCAAGCTTACTAATATCATCTGCTTGGAGTAAACCAAGTGATGTTAGAGTATATGAGATTAAATTAATTGAAGAACATGAGCAAAATAACGATCGAAGTAGGAGGGGATTGATGATAGAGCTCAGCATTCAAGATCAAATTGTGAGGCCACCAAACAGGAATTAAATACCTCACGTTGAATTCCTGCAACTTTCAAAATCAATGTCTGAGAATTAGAAAATGATTCTACCGCGGACTCCCGCTAATCGGAACGACACTTTATTCATGGAAACGGGGTTCATTTTTAATTTGAACTTCTTGTAACCCTATGAGCATCAGAAAAGCGTGTTTCCAGTAGCCTTATTTGCTGGCTAGTTTTGATTATGCGTTCTGTTTCACTTTACTCCATTGCAAGAGATAGATGATGTTAGAGTAATTTTTAGCAAACACGATGCGCAAATTAGCGGGGCTCAAATTAAAAAGTATTCCGATTAGAAACGGTCCGATTAACCTGCGTCAACGATATAGCTTTAATGACACTCAATTTTTTAAACCCTTAAGATGTTCTTCTTGCAGGGTCCATTTGCCAATCCAACCTCTCACTTTCAAGAGCACAAATCATCAAGATTCACGAGGTTTTTAGATCTGTTAATTTTAGACATCGCTTGGTTCATCGTAGCAAACAAAAAGCTTCAGTTTCAGCTTCGTACAATTACCAAAACCTTCGTATTTTCAAGTATCAAAAACATGAAAATGAGGTTAAGATAAAAAACAAAAATCTACGTACCTGAACTTTTGAAAAATGTTCAAATCCAGAACACTCTTTAAAATCCCATATTCCATGCCCCAAGATTTTATAGTCTGGGAAATCGTTCTTTTTTAAATCTAGGATCGTGAATATATTTTCTAAGCCTTCTCGAAATGATCTAGTTCAGAATCAGGAAAACTGTTCAAGGAACTTTAAATGATTTCCAAGCTCTGAAAACAAGCTCCGTCCTAAAGACTTAGGACAAATTAAAAGTTACAGAATTTAATCCCTAAGTCCCAGAAAAAAAGCAATTCCACGCCATATGACAAACCAATCTTATGTCACCTTCTCCTATTTTCATGAAACTTTGCATAATTTTTCATTCACATTTGACATAAAATTCGGCTATTTTGAATCTTAAAAAGTTGATTTCAAAACCTTGGCAAATTTTAAAAGTCCAGAATATTTATAACTTTGATGTTTTACCAAGTGTAAGATTTCTTAAGATTTACCTTTATCTTGATGGTTATGCAATACCAAGTCTGAAATTTATAAAATGGTCCGAAAAAGTTCAAAAATCTTACTAAAAATTTAAGTTTCATTTTTACTTAAAGTTTCCATTGTGTCCAATGTCGGAAAAGTTAGCATTTTTGATAAGCTTTCAAATAAACATAAGCTAAAAAATCTCAAAAATGTACTTTTATGATATTGAAGTTTTTAAGGGGGAGTTCACCGCTCCGAAAAAAAAATACGTTTGGATTTTTCTCAAAATATTGAAAAAAGGTATCAGAAATCTAAAATATTCAAATTTTTTTCTAATTTTTCAAAATGAAAATTCACGTGCAAAAACTTTTTTTACCACACAAACCATCGACTTTTCGGTTTTGCTGAGGGCCAATTTTTTTTTTTCATGATGAGATAGAACAAATATGTGTGCATGTATTTTTTAACAAAAATCTAAGGAAGAAACTGATTTTCTTGGATTTTTGATAAAATTACCCAATATTTTAAGAAAAATAAAAACGCACCTATTTTTTTTTCGGGCTGGTAAACTTCCTCTTGACAGTGTTATTTTCCAAATTTTTGACCAAAATTTGTGATTTTTTTAAAATGTGTATTTTTATCTAAAAAATCAATCCAGTTTCCTACAACTTTGTATAGACGTCATTTCGATAACATGAGCCGTTTTCATGCTATGATTGATTGGCGCTGGTCAAAAAAGCCAAATTCCAGCACAAAATTGGTTTATTGCCCCTCCAAGTATGCAAACTTTCACGGAATTCGGAGAGGAGCGTTCCACGCCAAATGGCAAATCGAAGAAACTTGACCTTCTTCGATTTGCATGAAGCTTTGCATAATTGTTTCTTATGGACAATGATTCACTTTTTTACAAAAATTCAGCCATTTTGGAGCTTGTAAAATTTCCAAAATGGCGTCTTTGAAATGTTTCAAAAAATTATAGCTTGGAAACGGCATTTCTGATCAAAATGAAGTCTGTGACAAGCCGGCGCCGGTGGTGTAGTGGTAAGCATGACTGCTTTCTAACACCCCAATGAGTCTGGGTTCAATCCCAGCCGAGGTCGGTGGGATTTTTCTGAGGCATAAAAATCTCTGGTCACGTCTTCCTTCGGAAGGGAAGTAAAGCCGTTGGTCCCGGCCCATGTGTGTTGTGAATGGGTGCGATATCCTACGCAGGTGTGGAAGCTGCCTTCCTGCACATTCGATTGCCGTCAATGGATGGCAATCGATGTCCGTCGGTGATTGGCACTAGATTGCGGAACAGAGACCGACGTTAAATAAAGGAGACAAAAAAAAAAGTCTGTGACAAAATTGTTAAGTAAAAGCATGCTTTTTTTCTAGGATAAATAAACAAAAAAAAAGGTTTTGGTAATTTCATGTAAGAATTCTAAAAAAAACGTTAAAAACTTAAATATTTTGAAATGCTCTTGACCGATTTTTTAATTTAAATAAAAAAAAAGCTCTCGAAAATGAAAACTTTTGGAACGATTGTTTTCATGTGTCCATGGTTTTGAACATTCCTAAATTTTGCATTTTTGTTAAGAATATTTTTGATTTTTTTTTTAAATCGGATGAAGACGTTTTGAAATATTTAGGTTCAAATTTTTTTTTTAATTTAATTTTAACTTAAAATAATTAAAAAGCATTTTATGTTTATTTTTTACACAGAGAAATGTCTCTTTTTCAACAAATTTGTCCAAGACGTCATTTCGATCAAAGACATCATTTTAAAAAAATTACAAGATGTGCCAAATTTCGGAAAAATTTGAATTATTGCCCTTAACAAAAAACTCCACAAAGTTTCATTTAAATCGGTGCAAGTCGATTCAAAAATTCAATTCTTCTTTCACTATTTTACGTGGAACTGCTCAGAGGATAAAGTTTGATCGATTCATCAGTAGCCGTGGATTTGCATTGCATCTAAATCTGCCAAGAAATTACAAAATGGGAGCGATCTCTAACTTTTTGGGCCGAAGAGACGTATGGCTTAAAGAAGGTGCCAACTCCAAGAGAGTCAAATGGCTTTAGATCATTTGTGTAGGAATGCTCAAATCGCTTTTTCGACATATATTTCTTCTGATCTACAACCGAATAATCTTTCCAAAAGAAGAAGCCTAGTAGCACACTTATCACAAACCGGTTGAGGTAACTGCTATGGGACTCATGTTAGTCACAATCAAGTTGCTGCAGCTTTGTGTGACAGGCTGTTTTACATTATAGAGCAATTGTTGTCGTATTGCTTTCCTTATTAACATGAACACATCGCTGTATTTCAGCGTATCCACATCGGATCTGAATGGGAATATCCACCATTTAATCATGGAAGGTGTCTTATAATATGAGAGGTTCGGTGGCCTAGTGATAACCGTTTTTGCTTAACCTTAGTCAGCCCAAGCTTTTTCGCTTGTAAAATAAATAACCAATTTTTATGAAACAGGTTCTAACCTATCTAGAATTGCTTCTAGTTATAGATGATGTGCATAATTTCTGACAAATCATGAAAAATCATTGATTCCAAAACGAATTTTTAGATAATAGGTTTTGACCCCACCCATTTTTTAAATATTTTTAAAGCTCAGCAACCAACAAACTAGAAGCTATTCCGGATCAATTGAAAGTTAATTAAATAAAAATCGGTCAAGGAATCAAGATATCAGAGCCATATTAATTTCCATTGCGTACCCACCGGTTAACGAGCAGAAGACCATAGGCTCAAACCCCCGCCAAACTCAAAAAACAAAATTAAGAAAAACAACACAGTTTTCGAAAATCCAGTACCCTTAACCGTCCACCTCTTCCCCTTACTTTCAGGTTGTCATCTCTGCCGTGCTCGCACTGGCCGCCGCCCAAAACCCTGATGCCGAGGCCCAGGTCCTGACCCAGGACTCCGTCGTCAACCCGGACGGTTCCTACCAATACCGGTACGAAACGAGCAACGGTATCGCGGCTCAGGAGAGCGGCGTCGGTGGTCAAACGGCTACCGGTAGCTACTCGTACACCGGTCCCGATGGTGTCCTGTATACCGTGAACTACGTTGCCGACGAGAACGGTTTCCAGCCACAGGGAGCTCATCTGCCCGTGGACCTTCCGGCTCCGGAACACGTTCTGCGCACTCTGGAGCAGATCCGTGCCAACCCACCTCAGGATGACCCTAACTTCAGTCTGGACGCTTTGAACGCTGCCATCGCCCGGCTGAGCGGAAAGAAATAAGAGAACCAGCCAACTTACAGCTTGTTGGCTACTACAACCGGATCCTGACAAATACTCCTCTGACTTGAACAAAGAAATTCAATCGAAACACACACACGAACGATCTATAGGATTATTGAGTAGCGCCATATCTTTTGTAAATAGTTTTTTTTTACATTGGACTCCTGTATGCTATTGTCTTATCTCGCACCAACTACAACTTTTTCTATGGTACTTGAGATCAGTCAGATCTCTGAACACATTCCCCATGCACATCCTATGATGCCTATCCGAGAGGAACGAGAGCTACCAATATCGAGAGTGCTGTAATTTTATTTAGCGGTAAACTATTGTACATAATACAACGTGTCATCGTTATAGTCGTGAAATAAAGTGAAACTGAAAAGTTTTAAAGTAAATTGAGGGAGTTTATGTTAAACACATAGAGAAAGATCATCCCTGAACTGAATAAGGCTGCCCATGGGGAGCCATTCTTTGATCAAAATTAAATTATCATTAAATTATTGGAAGTGCTGCTCAGGCATGGATTCATTAGCCTCTAACTTTTCTCATCAACAGAGTTTTATAAAATGATCCATGAAGCTTTTGTTGGTTTTTATATTAGCTACAACTTTGGGAAACAATTTAAATCTGTATCTCTTATGCATGATGAACCAGAGCTAACAGAATCCACCATTATTTTTCAGTTAATGTAAATTATATTCACTTAAAAACAATAACAAGTTCTGCCCGCTCTAGTTCGTCATACATGAGAGATACAGATTTGAGTTATTCACAAAAGTTTTAGCTAATATCAAATCCTATAAAGGTTTTATTCATCATTTTATAAACCTCTGCTGTTGAAAAAAGTTGGAGGCAAATTAATGTAAATGATTTTCCATGGATGGTGCTGCTAATTGCCATAGCTTTCAATTGTACGTGATCCAACAGAACTGTTCAATCGAATCTTATCAACAAAATTATTGATCTCCATCAACTGGAGCGATACTGTGTCAAGCGAATCTCATCTACTGTCAATTGCGGCACATTCACTTGCAATTGGGCTCTTTAATTATGAAAAGAAAACTCCATTTTCTGAGGGCAATGATATTTTAATAATCGAAAAGCCTTTCATGGGGCAGTTCATAAGCCACGTAGACACTTTTGGTTTGGCGAGTGTCTATGGTTCATACAAATTTCCATAAAATTGTATGGACGATTGGCTACGCCAAATGGATGGGGGGAAGGTCTAAAACCTATCAAAATCTGTCTAGGTAGTTTGTGAACAGCCCCCATCTAGATTTTAAATCGCGAATTAAAACAAAATACTCGATTACTTTTACGGAGCGACGTATCAGCTTTTGTAAACAATATTTTCGATTTGGCATACCTGGTAGTTTGCCCACGCATACTAACACCATTACCAGGTAGGGGAAAATGTTCCATATCTGATGATAGTGTCAGCATGCGTGGGCGAGCTATCAGCTACGCCAAATCGACCATCAAATGCATTGCTTACAAAAGCTGCTTGGTCCCTTCGAAAAAGTAATCGAGAATTGTTGGATCGTTTTTAGACACACATAAATTGTCGGCTGTCCCATATTAAAATAACGCCAAGGGGCACTTAGCAAGGGGTTTTCGCCAATGTAATCGCACTTTTTAAAATATTTCCAGAGCTCCAAAATTGTTTAATATTTTGAAATTTGATTCCATTTTCACTGCAGATTACAACTTTGAAATTATTTAACGCCATCTCATGTTTATTAAACTTAAATATCTGTTCAATGGCAGCAAGAAATTGTCTCTCTTTCTTAGTTTTTTTTTTGTCTTGTCCCACCGTCTCGATAAGTCTCATTGTCGCCCACTGGCAACCAAACATTACCTGCTCGAACTCCAGACGAATCTAGGACCGAACTACCGTTCATACTTGCGACAACGCTCTGATGAGACAACGCCCACCCCTAAGCTCCTCCCCTGATCCTATCTTTCGATAATGTACCCTTCTAACCTCGAGTAAGCTGCGCGTATTCGGCCCAACTTCTACTAGACATAGAATTAAGTGAATTTTGCTATAAACAGTGAACAATTAATTATCGGCTCCGTAAAGCTAACGCGATTGAGCCTTCCAAATAAACGAACTGAAAAAAAAAAACATTTCAGAAATTTAGAAGCATATACTAAAGTTCCGAACCTTTTTCGGAGAGATAAAAAAATAACGATGAGCACCTTTATATGACCGTTATTGTATGGTTGAAAACCGCAATCTAGCGTTAGAGCGGGGAAAATACCGCAGGTTCAGGGTTTTATCCGAGCTATAATTTGAAAGGTAATTCCACCCACGCCTCATTTGCTAAATCAGAAGGAGACCACATATTACAATGGGATCAAAAGCAAGTGTTTCATATGTAGCATGAAGGGATACTCAGAAATGAGAACGACAGCTAAAGGGTGAAAATGCGTGTAAATCGGTGAAATCGTTTATATAAAAAATCAAATTAAATTTCTTTTTCAAGTTCAATTAGTATAAAATTCAGGAAAAATATTCAGTTAGGCTTCCGCTTTTCCAAATCCGAATTGCCGGGCCTTACGTTTGACCCCTGCCATCAGATTTTGTACAGCCACCTTGTCCACCTTCTTCGCCGCAGAAAGCCAGTTTGCCTTGAACTGCTGCTCGCCCTTAGCAGTTTTTTGGTCTTCTTTAGGTTCCGCTTGACAATAGCCCAGTATTTCTCAATTGGGCGGAGCTCTGGCGTGTTGGGAGGGTTCTTGTCCTTGGGAACCACCTGCACGTTGTTGGCGGCGTACCACTCCATGGCCTTTTTACCGTAATGGCAAGATGCCAAATCCGGCCAAAACAGTACGGAACAACCGTGTTTCTTCAGGAAAGGCAGCAGACGTTTATTCAAACACTCTTTCACGTAAATTTCTTGGTTGACAGTCCCGGAAACTATGAAAATGCTGCTTTTCAAGCCACAGGTACAGATGGCTTGCCAAACCAGATATTTCTTTGCGAACTTTGACAGTTTCATGTGCTTGAAAACATCTGCTACCTTTCCCCTTCCTTTTGTCGTATAAAACTCCTGTCCCGGAAGCTGCTTGTAGTCGGCTTTGACGTAGGTTTCGTCGTCCATTACCACGCAGTCAAACTTCGTCAGCATCGTCGTGTACAGCCTCCGGGATCGCGCTTTGGCCGTCGTATTTTGTTTATCATCGCGATTTGGAGTCACTACCTTCTTGTAAGTCGATAGTCCGGCTCGTTTTTTGGCTCGATGCACGGTTGTAGACGATACACCCAGCTTATTTGCGGCATCTCGGAGAGAGAGGTTAGGGTTTCGCTTGAAACTACCGGCAACTCTCTTTGTCGTCTCAGCGGCTTCCGGTTTTCGATTTCCCCCCGATCCAGACTTCCTGGCTGTCGACAAACGTTCCCCAAACACTTTAGTTACATTTGTAACGGTTGATTTGGCAACTTTTAGCGATTTTGCCAACTTTGCGTGCGAGTAGCTCGGATTTTCGCGATGCGCGAGCAAAATTTTGATACGCTGCTCTTCTTGCTTGGACGGCATTTTGACAACTGAAGAGTGAATTCCAAAATCAAAATAGGAGCAACATTCTACACACACACACCTTCAAAATGAGGGGTGTTCAGGTTTTTTAAATGCAAAATTGAAAGAAATACGTCAAGTTGATATTGAGCAAATTTTGACCGTATCACCCTTTACAACAGCCCAACAGACAGTACCGTAGAGCGGAATATCCTTGAGAATGCGGGTAGCTTTGATTTTAGAATATAATGATTAAATTTACTATCTGCACAATTTCCGAATTGGGAACACTGGTTCCATTCTGTAGCTTAGGGTATTACCATACATAGAGGTAACTCTAAGACCAGAAGGCCCTGAAGAAACGAGCTCAACTTTTTGGCTCAGCTCTGGTACTATCTTCGGTCCCAAGCTAATCGATTCACCCCTCGAAACATAGGAAAATCAACTAACCCCATTGTAACGGCGCCGGTGGTATAGTGGTAAGCGTGATTACCTCTCACCCCAGCAGGCCTGGGTTCAATCCCAGTTGGCGCCGCCGGGATGTTCTGAGGCATAACATCTCTGATCACGCCTTCCTTCGGATGGGAAGTAAAGCCGTTGGTCCCCGGTTCATGAGTTGATGGGTCGATAGGTTGGGTCCAGGTGTGGGAGCTGCCTTCCTGGCACGTCGGTAGCATTGGTGCTCAGCACGGAAAACAAGATCGATGGAAAAAAAAAAAACAAACCAAAGGAAAAAAAATAACCCCTCATTGTATCTGTCAAACTTTCATAGCGAATCAAAGCAAACATAGTGTAGTACTGGAATTTATGCTAGAATGGGATACGTTAATCGATTTGCTTGGGACCCATAGGCTAGTCAAGAAGTGAGCCAATTTAAAATCGTTAGTTTCGTAATGATTGTTGGTATTACCTTTGATATCGTCACAGGCTGCCCTCAGGTGGGTCACAGAAATTCAGACAACTTGATCATAGGTTTTTTTTAAATTGCATGCAGAAGTTATCTGAATTTAAAATTATGTAATTTCAGAGTTCAGGAAGTTTTTTAAAGGCCTTTTTCGCGATATAAAGTCTTTTTTATGGTAATGTCGGCGTTGACAGTAGGTCTCGAGTCGTTTTTTTTTTTACAACGTTATGAGGTGATTTTCTAATTAGTTGCAGTTTTTGGGCTGTTTTGGCGTTTAAATCCGTTGAAATGCAATGACTTTTTAGAATTCCTAAAAGTGGGTCGCCATCGAAAATAAAAATCTGGTCCACTTAGAATCCGTAAACTTTATTTATTCTATAGCAGCGCCTCTAGTGGTCGGATTTGGAATGTTTTGACAGCGATTGGTTTTGAAAGTACACGTTTTTCAGTGGCGAATGTTTCGTCTCGATACGGGCGGTATTAAAAAAGTTGGGTCCTGAGTTTCTCTTGATCGACCTCAACACCTTCCAGATCAGCTGCCGATGCAAAGTTCGAGCACGACGTTTGCTTCAAACCTTCGGGGCCAC